GTCTATCTATCTATCTATCTATCTATCTATCTATCTATCTATCTATCTATCTATCTATCTGTCTATCTATCTATCTATCTATCTATCTATCTAAACTAATTAACACACCATTCTCGACGTTTACCAGGTCTGGCCTACATCACCGTCATGTTTGTGGTGAACACCGTGTGTTTTATTAAGTTTAAAACATACACTCATCAGCTGATGCAGGTGAAAGATGAGAGGCTGAAAGTGCTCAGCGAGGTTCTGAATGGGATAAAGGTATGTGGAATGAGAGAAAGAAACACTTTCTTTTTTTCCCGCATGGAAACGTTTTTGGTCACAACGGCAAGTTAGGAATATTTCAAATGTATAGGGAGGTCATCTCAATGACCACCAAAATGATTGTTCTAAAATACTATGTATGGTCAACCCTTCTAAATGGCTGTGAATGCTGGACAATCACTAAAGACAGTGAAATTAAAATAGAAGCAACAGAAATGTGTGTTTTTTTTTAGGAGACTGCTTAGAGTAACGTGGAAGGAAAAGAAATCAAATGAGGTAGTGCTTGATGAAGCCCACGTGGGACGCTCAATGTTAAAAACAATCAGGAAACGACAAGTGCAGTTTTTGGGACACCTTAATAGACATAAAGAGTCTTGAACATCTAGCTCTCTCTGGCAAAATTGAAGGCAAACGAGGCAGGGGTACGCCCAGAACAATCTACTTGGAGAAACTAAACAAATGGGTAACAGGGAAAGGTCAGGGAAACGTAGCTTTTTTTTAAAGAGAATCCGAGCAAAGGAATGAATGGAGAACCATGATCGCCGATGTCTGTCGCAGATCTTTCCCTGGATGATGATGATGATGGGGAGGAGTTCCGGAGAGGGCCAGCACTTACCGTGACAAGGTCCGCTGAGCAAACTATAACCTACAAGAATTAGAGTTAGGGTTAGGGTTTGTGCTAGGATTAGGGTTAAGGTTAGGGTTAGGGTTAAGGTTAGGATTAGGGTTTAGGTTAGGGTTAAGGTTAGGGTTCAGGTTAGGGTTAAGGTTAGGATTAGGTTTAGGGTTAAGGTTAGGGTTAGGGTAAAGATAAGGTTTACGGTTAGGGTTAGGGTTAGGGTTAGGGTTAGGGTTGAGGTTAGGGTTAAGGTTAGAGTTAAGGTTAGGGTTAGGGTTAGGGTAAAGATAAGGGTTACGGTTAGGATTAGGTTTAAAGTTATGATTAGGGTTAAGGTTAGGGTAAAGATTGTGGTTTGGGTTAAGGTTAGGATTAGGGTTAGGGTTAAGATTAAGGTTAGGGGTAGGGTTAGGGTTAAGGTTAGGATTAGGACTAGGGTTAGGGTAAAGATTAGGGTTAGGGTTAGGTGTTGTTGGTCGGCCAACCCTCTGTGGAACTCCTTCCAATGTGTAAATAGTATTAAGCTGTTGTTTGGGGTTTTTTTTCTTTTTCGATGTTCTTTCATCTTTCTGGCTCACCTCCCCCCCACCCCCTATTTCTTTTCTTTTCTTTTCACTATGTTCTTTACGTGTTTTTCCTCAAAGCTTCTTCTTTCTATCCCTGACGTTCCAGGTTTTGCTGGGGGGTTTTGTTATCAGGTTTCTCTTCGTATTCTCTCAGGTTATCAAGCTCTATGGTTGGGAGCCCATGTTTGCAGAGAAAGTGGCAGAGATTCGAAACAGAGAGCTGAAGATTCTACTCAAACTGTCATTCATAGATATCGTGGAAACTTTTTCGTGGACTGTCTCGATTTTTTGGGTGAGTAATTGAAAATCTGTTTCTTTTTTCTTCTTTTTTCCCCCTGTTTCTTATGTGTGTTATAGTTGTTGGTGTTGTTTATTTGTTTGAGTGTTTTCTCTTTTTTTTTGGG